CTTTATCTTCAATCTCACTAATCCTGACTTCCATTGCCTCAATTCTGCTCCTATGACTTTCTATTGAGTTGTCTAATTCTGACATTTTATTGTTAATCTTCTGGATTTCTGATTGCTGTCTCTCTATGGAGCCTAGCAGCCTGTTAAATTTGTCATTACGCTCTTCTCTAATCTTTTTTAGTTTCCTCTGTTGCATGTTCTGCATTTTGCTCTATTTCCTTCCTAATTTCTTGAAGAGTTCTGTATATTACTCTTTTGTATTCTGCCTCTGGTAATTCCAAGAAATTTTCCTCCTCTGGAAAATTTCTAGATTCTTTATTTTGGGAGCTTGCTGAAGCCATCATGTATTGCCTGTTTATGTGATTTGATATTGACTGCTGTCTCCAAGCCATCAATAAGTTATTATATTTATTTATTTTATGTTTCCTTACTGTGTCCTAGCTTCTTGCTTTGTTTTGATACGCCCAAATAGGCTTCTCATATGAGCTAGTTTGATTATTGGCACCTTTGAAGCTCTAATGTTCCTGTCACCAGGTGGTCAGATCTGTTACTAGGTATGTAAGCTCAGGAGTCTGCCCACTTCTCCTGTATGGATTTAGCTCAGGTGCCCAGGTAGATAGCCACCAAGTGTGTGGTATAGGCTCTCACTTACAGTCCTAGACAGGCATGGGTGATTGGTGTAGGAACAGGCATCTGCCTGCAACAGTGGGACACACTCTGAGCAAGGCAGGGGGCTGATGGCCACCCCTGAGTATCCAGGAGGAAGGCTTGTCCCTGTGCCCTAGAGCACGTAGGTGGGTAGGTTTTGCAGCCGGACTATGAGCACTTAATGCTGCTGGCTGTAAGGACTGGGGGGCACCTCTTATTCATGGGCCCCTATCGCAGGTGGCTAGATGGTGTGGGTGGAGCTACCAGTCCTCAGGCCCCTGATATGGGTAGATGAATACCCTGCTTAATGGGCAGATCAGTGTCAAATGTCAAGAACCTGCCACTTCACAGCCAAAATAGTTGAAGTTAGACTTCTGATATATACCCTGCTGTACTACAGTAATGAGGGCCTAGGCTGTTGAGATGGGCCCACACAAGTCTATGCAGGCGGAAAGGCACTCAAAGTCCGTGGATCCCTTATGCCTGTGCCTAGGCAAAGGAGCTGTGCCTACCCTGGGTTCCTGGCTTGGGATTCGGCAGTTTATTTTTTCCTCCGTTTCTTAATTTGTTCACTATCCAAGGCAGGGAGAATTGTTCCGGGTGTGTGATGGATCCTACTTCTAGCCCGGGAGACTTGGCAACTGCTGAGGCTGGTCCGGGACCCAGTGCAGAGCAGGTAGCAGGGAGGTAAATGGGAGAGAGGTTTTTCCCTAATGGGGGTGTTTTTGATCCATGCGGTAGGCTGTATGCAATTACTTATCTCTCTTCGATGAGGGCTGCTTCTCACTGGTTCTGGGTGGCCATGTAGAGTCTCTGATGCTGGGTCTCTCCACGTGCGGAAAACATGCCTCCCAAGCACGGACACTTGCCTGCCTCACTGTTCACCCACGAACTGCTCAGGCCTAAAGGGCTCAGGCTCTCGCCAGGTCAGGTCTGGCACCTCCTTGCTGCTTCCGAACCATCTCTCCTTCCCCCTGACACTCTGTCCAGTTCCTGAACTCTGCCTTTGATATTCAGGGCTCCCAGATTGCCATATATAATCAATTCACTTGTTGTTTTCAGGTCTTTGTTGTCAGAGGGTCCACCGGAAGCATCTGACTACTCCACCATCTTGGCCCCACCCCCTGAATTCTGTTTCTTAAGTGGTGTTCTAGAGAGTAATTGGCTAAAATGCTTAGCACCTGCATTCAGCCTCCCTGTTAAGTGATATTTTGAAAAGAGAAAAACAAGAAATTCACCTATAAATGGGCTGGAGATGATGAAGGTCATGCATGGAGAACTGAAGTAATGTCTCTGCCCTTGCTGACATTTCTTCTTAGGCTCTTCAACGAGGTATGCTGGAGACAGCTTTCGCTCCCTCCAAGGAAACTCTACCTACCTAGAATGCCAAGTTACTATGACTTCTTAAAATAATAGCATATTTCCTCAATAAAGAGTACTTACTTTGTAGATTCATAAAGATAATCGTAGGCATTAGAATCATTGCAACTCTGCTCCTGATTATCAACGGTATAATTAGATTGATAAAAGTCAGAGTCAAATTGTCCCAAGGTTGACATCCTGAAAAATAAGAACAGTAATTTGTACTTATAAAATTATGAGCCAAGGAAACTTCTTTTGAGATATTTACAAAGATTAATTGGTGATGTGCTTTTGGCTGGATTACTATCAGGGGACGAGGTATTCTTTGAAAGGGTAAATTAAGTATTGGGGAAGGGGTATGAAATGCATAATAGAAAGTCACTTATAAAACCTGCATCTTCAATAACCTTTTCTGACATTTTCACACACTGGAACTGTGACTTTGACCAAACTGTCTTTAACTGGTTTGAAAGAACTAACAGTCTTCTCCAAATATGTTATTCTCAGGAGTTTAAGGTTTAAGAGTTTCCCTTAAACAAGTTTAGTTCTTCACTTTAAACACTTTCATATATCCTTTTAGTAAAATCAAAAGTAAATGACTGATAAAAATAATATTATTTGAGTTTGATTTTCCTATAGCTTTTAAATTTGCTGACGGCCTGTTGTTGTTGCTTTTAGATACCATCGAGTCGGTTCCAACTCATAGCAACCCTATGCACAAAGAACGAAACACTGCCTGGTCCTGTGCCATCCTCACAACAGTTTCTATGCTTGAGCCTATTGTTGCAGCCACTGCATCAATCCACCTGGTTGAAGGTCTTCCTTTTTCTTGCTGACCTTCTACTTTATCAAGCATGCTGTCCTTCTCCAGGGACTGATTCCTCCTGATAACATGTCCAAAGTATGTGAGATGGAGTCTCGCCATCCTTGCTTCTAAGGAGTATTCTGGTCTTTGAAGACAGATTTGTTTGTTTTTTTTTTTTTTT